TTTCCTTGCTAGCTAGGGTAGTCTTCCTACACTTGAGTATTTAGATACTATAGATTAGACTAATAGACTTTCAACTTATATGCTTACACCGACACAGTTCTTTTAATCCAGACCATAAAATGCAACTTTTTGTAGTTCGTTTATGGTAATCAGTAATTACTCCTTTTTTTATTTGCAATTTATTTAAATAATCTCCCTAAAGTCTTTGGGGGCGGAGGCACATAAAAAAATTCGAGGAGGCTTTAACCCCTTAATAATTTTAAAGTTAATAAAGAATAATTTACCATCCCAAATGGTTACAACCTAACTGTACTTTTATATGCATAGAGCTAGGGATTATAAAACTGCGTAACCTATTTATTAGTTAAATTTTTTAATATAAAATTACATCTTTAACAATTTTATACAATTGAGGATAACCGTAAATATTTATGTTGTCACTGACCTAATGCTTAACAACTAAATTAAAATATTTTTTTAATCGTAGAAGGCGAGCATCTTTCTGTACAAACTGTAATACTCCGTATATTTTTTTTTTTAATTTCCTTAGACGTCTATTTCTAGTTTAAGTCAAGTGTTTTTTTATAGTTTTGGAGAAAGAATTAATTATAGAATTGTTTTGTAGTGGGTTTTACATCCTTTTTGAAGGATGTTTTCAATAAATCCTTAGGATTCGCTAACATTATTTCACAGGAACTTGTCCTTAATTATCTAGCTTAGTTCTTTTCTACCCCGGAGTATTTGTATTATACGGAGTAGTAATTCTAGCTTCATTCTTTTTATTTGGCGCAACTTTGAGCCCACTTGGTAGAACTAAAATTGGCTGAATCGGCTGATTCTGGTGAAATTTATATTCTGGCAGAAGTGGCTGCATTGAAAAAATTATATTTAATTTTTTTATTAATAAAATAAAGAAAAAATTATATGAAAAAATAGCTAAACTAATCACTTACAGTAACTTCAGTTAATAGAGTCAAAAAAGTAGCTTTAATTTTGTTTTTTCTTATCATTACACAAATCACCGCGTGAAATCAAAAGTTACATGTTTGATGAAAAAGTTGGCTGACAAGCTTGATAAGCTAAAAAGATATTCCCACCAAACATAGTCCCACCAAACATGCTCTATCTTATTTGTTTGTGATACAAGTATTTGCCAACTTTACTGCGCCAAACTCCATCGTTTGGCAGTAAAAAGAGAGTGCATGGACTTTTTGTTTGTTATACTCCGTATTTGTTAGGATGAATAAAAAGGCACTTAGGATGAATAAAAAGGCTACTCTAGCTGGTCTCATGTTTGAATATTGTTTTCATTATTTCGATGAAAAAATCCTAACTTATATTATTATGTAAATCAAATAAGTTACTCCCTCCGTCCCTGTTTTTTCTCCCATTTCGGCTGGGCACACTAATTAAGATAGTGTATTTTGTGTGGTGGAGAGTTGTGCAGAGGAGAGAGAAATGTGTAAGAATGTGTAAGAATGATTGTGAACCACAAATTCTTTGCCAAAAAGGGAAGGAGGATATAATTTTGAGACGGACGAAAAAAGAAAGTTTGAAGATAATTGAGGGACGGAGGGAGTATATTATTATGTAAATCAAATAGTTGACAAATACTTTTTAAAATTAAACAACATCCTTCATTTCAACTAAATTCGTCATGAACTTTATGCCTTAGTTCTTTGGTTGTATTTCTTCATAAACTGAAATCCTTGTATTTACTTCACAGATAGGTTCAAACTAATCAAAAGAATATATAGAGACCCACGACTACAAGATACGAGAAGTATATACATTCATGATTCATCTCATTTTAATCTTCTCAATCTATATTTGTCATTTTCTAAACACTTTTTCATATTTCTTAAAATTAAGAAAGAATTAATTATGTCATTGATACTCCCTCGTACCAAAGTAAGAGTCCAATTACAGATTTTGAAGTTTGATTCATATTAATTATAGTTTTGCACTCCAAGGTCCTGTTTTATTTTCTTAAAAATTGTACAAAGCAAAAAGATAAAATCAATAAACATTTATAAAGATTGAAAATAATTAAATAGACTCCCGCATTAACAATTCTAATTGAAAAGGAATTAAAACATAACATAAGAGAATGTGTAAGGATACACACAAATGAGTAGGCCTTTCAATGGATCGGATACGGACCGGAACTATAAATTTCATATACATATCGATGAGTAATTTTTGGTTCAGATCCGGACTCATTTATCTTTCGGATCCTAAACATATATTCCAGATTTGGGCCCGACGGATCTCGGATCTGGGCCGAGTATACCTACAAAAAAGTTCAAATGACATATGCAAACAAATATAATACACAGAAATATTTATGTTCATATTGGAAGATGTATATAAATAAGCAAAATGTTGTTTTCTCCGCTAGTAAACTCATTGAGAACCTATAGTAAACTCATTAGAAAAAACCCCATTATACTATTATAGTGGGCCAACCATTAAGCCTATAATTATTAAAACATTTTTTATATTTGATTATTTTCCTTATTTTCTGTTTAAATAATTCTATGTATATTCTGTATGTAGGTGTGTGTAATTATATATATAATCATATCATCACCTGTCGAGTCCAAAACGGGCCGGAACTTAAAATCCATATCTGACCCATTTTTCTTTCTCATGTAACAGGTTCAGATCCGGGTCCGGGAAACGGTTCTAAATTTATACCCATACCCTCAAATACAGTCTCAGATTCAGATCAAATCCGGTCTAGACCCGACCCATTGACATGCCTACCTATGGGAATACAAAAAATGAATGATTTAGGAATAAATCTAAGATATTTCTGTTACACGAATTATTTCCTATCTCAAATTGTCTGCTTTGAGAAAGGGGAGCCACTGGATGGCTTGGTATAGGGCTAGTTTAATCTAGGAGAAGGGACCCAAAAAAAATGAATAAATTTATGATATTTTTTTAATTATTAGCATCGATAATGGAATATAGTTCGAAAAACTACAAATGACACACAGCTCTACACATTCCAAGCAGCATACAGCCAATGCCTACGTACATATAGAAAACTCTTTTTCGTAAACATAAAAAAGTACTCCATAATGCATACCCCCTTATCCTAAATTATTACTTTAACCAACTTTTTATTCTAAAATATTTATGATTATAAGAGATGAATGCAAAATTTGAACCAACATTCTAAATTTGGCAATTGCCTCTACATTAATTGCTTTTACTAAATGAGATAAAATTCATACGGAATATTAAATATGCATCCTCATTATTTCTCGAAGTATATGATTTTCGTTGTACAAAAAATGAGTGAAAGATATGATTATTTTCCTGAATTATTTGCCAGAATAATTTTGGACTCAAATGTGAACCCATATTACTTGGGGATAGGCTGAGCCTCTGGTGCGCACGGGAAAAAGGCCTACCATCATTGGGCCGACTGAGTCACCGTGATTAACATTCTCCCAAAAATCCTGTTGGGTCGGAGTATGGAGGGCTCCTGGGTGGGAGATTCCACCGTTTGGACCAAATATTACTTTGGAGATTATTTACTCCATAAAACTAGATGTAATAAGTGAGCACATGACTCGTCCATAATCATATTAGTCAGAGTATTAGAAGTGATAGTTGAATGCAATTTAAACGATTTGAGATTATTACCAAATATGTGTCAATAATTTAACTCTCTTACTACAAAAGCTCTAAAGACGACGCTAGAATAATGTAATAAAAAATTTAAACATAGCTAAAATGACCCTTTGGGGTAAATTCAAACAATTCACTTAAAAAACCAACTTCAACCTTATTTTAATCGTTATAATCGTTATAGTCCCTCCGTCTTTTCAAATTTTACAAATTTTCCTTTTTTGGATGTCTCACTAACTTTGATACTTTCTCTTTTAAATAAATAAAGAATTTGTGATTCCAGATAATTCTCTCTCCTCTACACAAAAATCAACCACACAGTTTTTACTTTATTAATCTCTGCGCAGTCAAACATTGCAAAGCTTTAGGGAACGAAGAAGGAAGTGTAATTCAACGCGTCAAATCCAAAGTTACACCTTTAGTTCTAAAATTGAACGATAAGGCGGGTAAGTCACAAAACATTGTGAGACAATGAACTCTTATTTAATTAAGAAAGTCTTTTATACACATCATTACTGTTGTACACACTTTTATATGCTTCTATAAATAAGAATGTGTTTTACACCTTACTTTATTCCGTCTCTTATAACTTTGTCATCCCTTATTTGGATGTCCCAAAAACTTTATCACTTTCTCTTTTAATCAATCAATTTGTGGTTCCTGTTATTTCTCTTTCTTTTGCACATATCTCAACCACACAGTTTTTACTTTATATTTCCGTACCGATCAAACATGACAAAGTATTGAAGGAGACACACAGTTTTTACTTTATTATTCTCGTACCGATCAAACATGATAAAGTATTTAATTTGGGATATATTCCTTAATTCAAAAAAAGGATGACACCCCATCCCTGAGGGCCCCAACCCCGACCGCACGGTACGTTGAGAGGATGTAAATTGGAGTATAATCTCAATATGACAAATAGAGACTGTGGCTCTGTCCCCGCTACTTGCAGAGGCCCTATGCATTTTTAGCATAGTAACCCCTCATCGCAGTTGCCAGGATTCGAACCCGGGTCCTTACCTTTGTGGCACTTCCTTGCTACCCGTTGAGTTACGCACGGATAGTGCTTAATTCGTATGTACTACCTTCGTTCCTTAAAACTTTGCCAAAGTTGAACGGCACGGAGAATAATAAAGTAAAAACTGTGTGATTGAGTTTTGTGCAGAGGAGAGAGAAATAACAGAAACCACAAAATAATTGATTAAAAAGAAAAGTGGCAAAATTTTTTAGAACATCACAAAAAGGAAAAATGACAAAGTTTTAAGGGAAACGGATGGAGTATTTGGAGAGGACGGGGCAGGGTCGTGCAGCTAAAAAATTGCTGACCGATTTTGAAAAAGGGTAAGGGTTATGATAAAAGGTGAAAAGACGTGGAAGATGAAGTTTGTAAGAGAGAGGAAGGGTGCAGTAGTGTGCTGGTGGTGGTTAGAGAAAAAAAGAAAGGAAATATTCTTCCTCGCCTTTCATGTTTTCCTTTTGGTGTTTTCTGCTCATAATAACAACTTAAACAAAATTTCTCGTTTTCTTCTCATTTCTTTTTTCTTCATCACCATCCTCGCTAGCTAGCAGCTTCCTGTTTTCTGTTCTCTCTCTCTTTCTGCGTTTGTCTGTGCTTATAATGACTACTCACCTCAGGTTGTTCTTCATCTTCGTCGTCTTCCTCCACCCTTACCCGAAACTCCTTACCCCTCAGATTTGATTATTATGATGAAGATTGCTTTTCATTAAAGAGAAAAGAAAGACTGTTTCTTAGCTTTTTTTTAGATAAAAAACACTCCTTTCCAGCCATGTCTTCCCACCCAGGCTTTGTATTCTAGCTCTTTCTCAATAGCAGCAGCAGTAAAGCTTGAAATAGCTTTTCATTCTGATCTCCTGGGGAAATGATGTCTGGAGATGTGTTTTCAATCCCTTCTTGTCTCAAGCCCATTATTCATCCTCCTCCTCAAGAACCTAACCCTAACCCTAAGCCTAATCCTCCCTCCAAGAAGAGAAGAAATCTACCAGGTACACCAGGTATTCATTTTTATGGTTCATAAATATATATATTCAATCAACCTTCTTGATTCTTGCATGCTTCTTTTTCTGGGATTTGAATAAAAAATGAATCTTTTTTACTTTACATACAGATCCAGATGCTGAAGTTATTGCACTATCTCCGAAGACGTTAATGGCGACAAACAGATTTGTTTGCGAAATCTGCAACAAGGGATTCCAGAGAGACCAGAACCTGCAACTTCACCGGAGAGGGCACAACCTGCCATGGAAGCTCAAACAGAGAGCTAAAACGGAGCTGGTGAAGAGGAAAGTGTATATTTGCCCGGAAAAGAGCTGCGTCCACCACGACGCTTCCCGGGCTCTCGGCGACCTCACCGGAATCAAGAAGCATTTCAGTCGGAAGCATGGCGAGAAGAAATGGAAGTGTGAAAAATGCTCCAAGAAGTACGCCGTTCAGTCCGATTGGAAGGCCCATTCTAAAACCTGTGGCACCAGAGAGTATAAATGTGACTGTGGAACGCTTTTTTCCAGGTCCATTCATTCATTCTTTGATTCATTCTACTCCGTACCTAAACGAAATTAATTTTAAGGATGTTTGTTCTGAATTTAATGTTACAGTAGGAATCTTCATTATGATTACATTTCTGGTTTGGGTTGCCACCCCATTTGTGTGTTTGGTGTAATAAATGTCCTGAATTTCTTGTGTTGATCCATATCAGGAAAGATAGCTTTATTACCCACAGAGCTTTCTGCGATGCTTTGGCTGAAGAGAGCGCAAGAATCACTTCCGTCGCTGCCACTACTTTGAGCTTCAGGAACAATGAGGCTTTCCTGAATCAACATCATCAGCCCAATTTGCCTCATGGGTTCTCTTCCGGTGCCGGAATTCCCCAGATTCCGGCAGGATTCCAGCCGGATTTCCAGCAGAAGCCGAGGTTGTCTCTGTGGCTAGACCAGGCGGCGGCTAATAACACCACCGCCACCAATAATAATCATCCGCACCACCACCACCTCAGCAGCCCAATTCATCAAATGCAAGCTGCGAATTCGGGTAATCTGTTCGGTTCAAATAGCTCCACCGGGCTGCCCGATATGTTGCACGGACACATTGACAGTTCGCCACTCATCTACGGCCAGTCCTCGCCTTCGAATTTCGGAACGGCGAGCCTCTCTTTGTCTACTCTCCCACCACATGACGATGAGGCGGCAGCGGCAGCGGAAGGAGGAATGATGATTCTAAATAAGGTTTCGGCCCCATCGTCGTCCATGTCCGAAACCTTGAACTCGATGTACTCCCATGAGAACCACCCCTCAATGGCCCCGATGTCGGCCACCGCTCTCCTACTGAAAGCGGCGCAGATCGGGTCCACGAAGAGCAACCCGACATTGTACGGAAACGGGTTCGGGCTCATGAATTCGTCATCGTCATCCTCAAACAACTTGCGGGGTTTCGCGAAGGACTCGCACAACAACAACTTCAACAGCCCCGGCAATGACAGCGGAGGCGTTGACCATTCGTCATATTTCGGGCAAAGCCGCCACGGGGCGTCGATGAACGGGGTCAATTCGAGTCATTTAACGAGAGATTTTTTGGGGATGGGGAGCGAAGGCGGGCGGCCATTTTTTGCTGAGGAGCTAGCGAAGTTTGCATCCTCCATGGGTTCAGCAAGTGGCATGGGGTTGAGCCATTTCGGCAGTGATGATGATGATCACCACCATTAATTCTTATGGTGATGTACCAATTCAGGTAGCTCTTGAGTACGTATGTAGGCATCACAACTTTGCTAAGGCAGCTTTCTCATCATATTTAATTTCTTACTTTTCGGTTTCATAAAAAACCCCATCTGTATGTAATTAAAATTGCAATTTCGTAGTTTTCGTTTCAAGATTCTTGCTTTTTAGAATAAATTTGGTAGAGTCGTACGGAGTATATTACTAAGAAAAGTACTTCATCGGTACAGCAAGCTAAGATTTATGACACAAAAGAATTTGTGATTTTTTTTTGCTGTACACAAATATCTATCTTTAAAATATTCACTTTTCATGTATCCCATTTTTACTAATGTTTTAAAAAACACCCATGCTTTGTTATGCCCCTATTTACATACACTTTCGTATACCCCATACTTGTTTTCATTTAAGGAAATAATTTTGGGAAATGAGTTTGAGATACGATGGAGTTTAATCAAACTACGAGAGCTATATTCTACGAAAGCAGACAAAAATATGGCAGCGTAAGGCAGTGTTTTATTGATTGGATTTTCGATCCCCATGCATGAGGTTTACAAGTGATCTTTATAGGCAAGGAACTGGTGTTTCAAAAGGAAACTGATATAATAAATGTTGTTAATTACACATTAATTTGAATAGGACTCTTGTAACGTCTTCACCGTTTATACAATGATTGTTCCTTTGTTCCCACATTCTTGTCGTTAACTCCTGCCAGCTGCCGATCTAATGATAGCGTGTCACGTCAGCCCTAGGAACATTCCAGCCTCATTGAACTTCGCCCAGGCTCAAGGCTTGCTTCCCAGCCTGGCCTGGTTGTGGGTTCCTCTTGTGGGCTTGATTCATAGTTCGGCCCAATGGCTTTCCAACATTAATCCCGTTTAAGGGCTAATCCCGTTATGGGCTTTTGGGTTGTATTTCCGCAGTTGGGCCATGATTGAATCCCATGGTACTATCACGAGCCTCCCTACTCTCTGAAATCAGCGAGGCTGGATTTTAAGAGAGTAATCGGAGCAAACAATTTCAAATTTGGAATCTTTTGGGGTGAACTGTAGCGCTGCTCGCATTAAATGCGTCCGTCCTGACATAGGCCTGCAACCCGGTACAGTTTCCAACCCGATTTACCATCTTCGGCACTCGAGTGTTATCGTTGCGGTTTCCCAAGCGGTTTCCAAGCCCTAATTCCTTAGCTATTTAAACGCCCAATCGTCTTTCGTTACGCTCTTCCGCAATTTTCCTTTCCGCTTTGGCCTTCGTCTTCAAGCTTCATCGGGTTAGTTTCCCTGATGTCTTCTTCGAGTTATGTTCCTCTGCACAACGTATTCCCGACGCAGGGGCCACCTCCAACCGGCCCCGCATCCCGGTGGACCTGGATGGGAGGGAAACACACTTTTTCCTTTCTTGTGACTATGCCCAGTAAGTCCCAGCTGTCGCTCTATCTGACGTCGAATTCGGCGAGGCGGTGGCCCTTGCGGGCCCTAGTGTAGCCTGTTCCCGCCCTTCACCTGGGCAGAACATCGTGGACCCTCCCTCCCCTCTTCATTTTGGGGTACATCTAGCCAGTTTGTAAGTAGGCTTTCGATGCCCTCTCTCTAATGCCCATTTGAGCGTTATGGACTATTATGGCATGATTCCGGGTCAATTTTCCCCAACTACCCATATGTTCATAGCTGGGTTCCTGGCTCGGTGTCTGCGTTTATGTATTCGCCCTGCAATCGATCTCTTCCTCCATTTCTTTCACTCTGTACGACCTGGTGGTTCTGAGTCCCCAGGATACCTCTCGATTTCTCAGCGGGCCGGCCATCGTTTATTCGAGGCCAAATCCTATCCCGACTCTTTCAAGGGTTGGAGGCAGAAATGGGTCTAGGTCACCCCTGCAGGTGGCAGGCTGCAGTTTGAGAACAAGTGTGGGGAGATGATCCGGAAATGGGTTATACCTTTTCTGTCAGAGGGCAATGCAGAGGCTGCCAAGGTGATTACTGATGGTGCGCCATTTCTGATGGGCCATTACGTAGGTGAGGACAGAGTGGTTGTGCTTACTTTTTTGCCAGGTCGGCTTTGTTTGAGTTGTTGTTGACCTTTGAACTTTCATCCTCTTAATGTTCTCCCTCTGACTCGATTTGTGTTTTTAACAGCGGGTGACAAGATGGCTTCCCGACTGGAACGACTTGCGGCAAAGGTTGGTGCCACATCCGGTCCCTTAGTTCCACTCAGGAAGATCCAGACCCGGGGGACCATTGGGGCTGCCTCGGAGAAGTTAGAGGAATCCGTCCCTGGAGATGGTGTTGGGCATCTGAATACGTCGGTCGTTGACCCTCAGCTCCCCATTGGTAAGGGGGTTGGGAAGAGAATGACACTCCGGCCTATCTCCGGGCCCAAAAAGAAAGTAAAAGCTGCCGTTAAATCCTCTGAGGATGTTGTCGACGTGGATTCTGACTCGGACGCCCAGTCCCAGGGAGGTGATAATCACGGTGAGACCCCGGGACCTATCCATTCTGTTCGCCTATCCATGAAGTCCCGCTCTGCCTCTCTGTTTCGCCACACCGTGAACCCGGTGTCGTTAGGCCTGGCTATCACTCCTCCAATTGATAAAGAGGAGATCCGGGGTTTGTCCCCCCAGACAGCCATCCGACGCGCTGTCCACTCACTCTCTGAGGTATGCCTTGTTTGCTATTTTCACCGTTACTTTGAGATTTCTTGTTTGTCTTCCTCTCATAACTCTGGTGTTTTTGCTTCCAGGCCTTCATTCTAGCTTCCTCAGGCTCCCGTCTTTTAGACAAGGGGCAGGACGATGCCCAGACCCTGGTGTCTGGCCTCAAGGAACAGACTGCTGACTTGGGGAAGAGGCTGGAGGTGGCGGTGCAGAAGGGCGAGACGCTGCAAAAAAGGCTGAATGACGTTAAGGCCGCGCATCGGGTGATGGAGGAGGAGCTGATGAGGAAGGTCAAGGAAGCTGGTCCGACCACTGTCCAGGCCTTCAAGGAGAGTGCAGATTTCCAGGCTGAGGTGGAACATGCCATCTTGGGCCGGAGAGAGGAGATAGCACTAGGTTGGCTTCAGACCCCTGAAGGTGAAGCCAAGTTGGATGATGAGGGGGCCTTATGCTTTCAACTGGGCCAATACGGGATGCAGAAGTCCTTGTATGAACTCCTTGAAAAGAGAGACCTTTCATTTTCTGCCCAGGCATGAGGTCTTTCGGAGTTGATGAAAAATCCAGAGGCCCCTGAAGAGACCCGGCTGCCGACGCCCTTGCTCCTGAGGTTCCTCCTACTTAACCTGGCAACTGGTAGAACTTTCTCTGATGACATTTTAACAAACATCTTTCCTAGGCAGCGCGTTTGCAGTTATTTTCCACCCTTGGGGTGGCGTGTAATGGACATCTTATACTTTCGCTCTATTTCCTATGCATAGATATTTTGATGACTGCTTTCTTGATCGTCTCGGTGGCTTGCTTGACTTGACTTGTCCGGTATTTTGACGATGTTCGAGGCTTCCGGCCCTTTCTGGGCTTCGTTGTCTCTGGGAGTTGACCTCCGCTTCGAACCTGTGTAATCCACATGCTCCAGGGCGGCCCTTGAGCCTCCCTGCTTAGTTGTTTTCCTTCACTTAGTCCTTGATGTATTTGGCCTTGAATTATTGGTCAAGGTCGTCTTTCCTTTGTTAAGGATGACGTTACTAATTTCAGACCCTTAGGCTCTTAATAGTTGAGCCAGATTGAGTGGACCTCACTCTAGGTTACTTAGACCTTGGTGATTGGCCTCTTAATTGGCGAGGCTTGTTAGCCTCTCCGGTGCAAAGTTAATTTCATAAGTTTCATATTTAGCCCTGTAAAATCTTAACCTTGCAAAAGGTTGTCTTTTCCTGTTTGAGGAAATTTGATTTTGTGTATAGAGTTGTTTAACCTTGAGAAAGGTTGTTTTATTCCCGCTCTCATCCTTAGGAAGACTAGGTTGAGCTTCTGGAATTAGATGAGTTCAGAATTTGTACTTTGTCTTTTGCGAGTACCAATTAGGCGTAGTCTTTGCTTTTTTTTCCTGGTTGAGAAACTTTCGCAAGTAATTTATAAAGGACTTTGTGAATAAAATCAAACTTTTATTGAAATTTGAAGCAAAAAATAGAGGATTACATGCTTACTGGTAGAACTTTAACAAGTGCTCGTAGTTTCATACTCTATCCACCAGTTTCCCTTTAGGAGTACACAGTTTGTAGGTCCTAGGACCGATTATCCCTTTGATCTTGTACGGGCCTTCCCAGTTCTTGGCAAATTTTCCACCCTCTAGAGGCTTGCTGGCTGACCTCCTTCTTAAAACCAGATCCCCAATGTTAAATTGCCTTGGTTTGGCATTTGCGTCGTGGTATTCCTTCTCTTATATTCTATAATTTTCGGCTTTAATGAAGGTTCTATCCCTCTTTTCTTCAATTAGATGAAGCTCTATCCTCAACATTTCTTCGTTGTCCTTGGGATCGTAGTCTTCTACCCTTCTACTCAGGATTAGAGCTTCTGAGGGTGCTTGTGCCTCGAACCCATAGGTTAGGGCGAACGGGGTTTCCCCAATTGCCTTTCTTGGGGTTGTTCGGTAGGCCCACTGGATATTGTTGAGCTCGTTTACCCAAGTTGTTCCCATAGATTCCAGCTTCTTTTTTAGGCCACTAACGATCGTTCTGTTCACGTTTTCAACTTGTTCGTTGCACTGAGGGTAAGCGACGGATGCCATGCTAGCCTCGACTCCCCATTGCTCACAAAATTCTTTAAAGGGCTCGGAATCGAACTGTATCCCATTATCAGTGATAACCTGCATGGGAACACCGAACCGGCAGAAGATGTTTCTCCATACGAACTTTTTGCATTGCTCAACAGTGATCGTGGCCATCGGCTCGGCCTCAACCCACTTAGTGAAGTAATCGATTGCAACTATCATGAATTTCCGACCTCCCGAGCCCTGCGGCAGGGGAGCCACGAGATCTATCCCCCACATTGAAAAGGGGATTTCTATGCTGATCGGGACATATAAGGTGGCCGGCCGGCCCGGATTCGTTTGGAAATTCTGGCAGAACTCACACCTTCATGCGAAGTCCGCACAGTACCTTATCATGGTTGGCCAAAAGTATTCTTGTAAAATAGCCTTTGTGCTCAAAATAGACACACCTTGGTGCGAAGAGCGAATTCCCTCGTGTAATTCTTTGATCACCTGCCGAGCTTGATGCGGCCTCAAACACTTCAAGAGCACCCCGTTGTAGCTTCTTTTGTAGAGTTTGTCATCCTGGATGACGTAATTAGGGGCTCTCCTCCTGACCATTCTTGCCTTATCTTCCTCTAGAGGTAGCACTCCGTTCTCGATATATTCCACCAAGTCATCTATCCAGCATCTTGGAGCCTGGTCGATTGGCGAGACCTCCTGATCCTTAGTGAATTCGATGCTTGGTTTTCTCAATTCGTGTACTTGAGCTATGCGTATGAGATGTTCGGGAGCATCGATTGTTAATTTTAACAGGGTTTCCGCCTCCATATTCTGAGCTCGTGGAACACATAGTAGGTCAGATTCTTCAAACTATTTTATGATCTCCAGGGTTGCATCCCTGTATTTCCGCATACGGGCTTCCTTGGCCTCATACTCCCCTCTAAGTTGTTTGATGACCAACTTAGAGTCGCTTTTGATCGTGAGTTTTTGAGCTCTGAAATACCTCGCTATCCTGAGACTGGATAACAGGGCCTCGTATTCAACTTCATTATTGGATAACGTAAATGAGTACCTTAGGGCATGGTAAGATTTGAAGCACTCAGGGGTGATGAGGACTATCCCTCCCCCGCAACCTTTGGACCCTGATGATGATCCATCAGTCATTAGGGTCCACCAGTCTTCCTCTTCGCGACGCCTTTCTTCAGCCACGTCTCTCGCAGTGCATTTTACTAGAAAATCTGCTAGGGTTTGCCCTTTGATCGCGGTTCTAGGTTGAAAGCTCACCTGATATTGGCTAATTAACAAGGACCACTTCACAACTCGTGCGGTCTTGGCTGTTCGAGGCAGAGTCCCCACCCCCAGGTCTGATAATACCCTGAAAGGATGAGCCTGGAAATAGTGGGCAAGTTTCTTCGCCGCGACATAGACTGCGAGGGCAGTCTTCTCCAGGGCTGGATACCTGAGCTCATCCCCATGAAGGACCTTGCTGATGTAGTAAACCGGCCTCTGAGTGAGCCCTTCTTCTCGTACCAAAATAGAAGTCACCGCGCTTTGGGTTATGGCCAAGTATAGGACTATCGTCTCACCAGCCTTAGGTTTGCTGAGGAGCAAGTCTGATTGTAGATATTTCTTTAGGTCTTCGAACGCAGCTTGAAATTCTTGTTTCCATTGGAACCCGTTGCTTTTCTTTAAAACTTGAAAAAATGGTAAGGATTTATCGGCTGGCCTGGATAGAAACCTCTCCAAGGCTGCCAGTCTCCTCGTGAGGATTTGAACTTCTTTGACGTTTCTCGGAGGTTCCATATCCAGAATTGCTTTGACCTTTTCTGGGTTAGGCCCAATGCCCCGATGTGTAACCATGAATCCCAGAAACATCCCCCCTGGACAGCAAAAGTGCACTTCTTGGGATTGAGTCGTAGATTCGGATTTTGAACACTACTCTCAAGTCCTTTGCATGATCACTCGCGTTTTGGCTCTTCACGATCATATCATCAACATAGGCTTCCATGTTCCTTCCAAGCACCGCCCGAAATACCTTGGCCACCATACGCGTGTAGGTAGCCTTGAAATTCCTCAACCCGAAGGCCATCACCAGATAACAGAAAACTCCTTCGGGTGTGATGAACGAGGTCTTCTCCGCGTCATCAGGGTGCATGGAGATATGATGATATCCCCTGAATGCATCCATAAATGAGAGGAGTTCGCATCCGGCAGTTTGGTCCACAAGCTGATCTATGCTGGGCAGAGGAAATGGGTCCATCGGGCAAGCCTTTTTCAAATCCGTATAGTCTACGCATATCCTCCAGGTGGGCGGCTTAGGGGCCAAAAGCACATTGGCGAGCCATTCCGGATACTGCACTTCCCTTATGTGTCTGATGCCTAGCAGCATGTTCACTTCACTCTTCACGAATTCCTTCCTGTCCAGAGATAGGTATCTTCTTTTCTACTTTACGGGCGCTATCTCTGGGTCTACATTCAAGCGATGAAATGCTATGCTTGGATCGAGCCCGGGCATATCCTCAGGTCCCCAAGCGAAAACCATTTTGAACTCTTCCAGAACTCGAACTATATTTACTTTCAGGTCTGCCGGGAGTCCCACCCCTATTTTAACCCGGCGTTCTGGCTGGGAAGGGTCGACCCCGACCTCCTCAAGCTCTGAGATGGGCTGAGCTCGAATTGCCCGTCCTCATATTTAGATAGGTCTTGTTCAATGGAATTGATCCTTACATCGCTTCTCTCATGAGCCTTGCAGGCTCTCACATAGCAACTTCTGGCCATTTTCTGGTCTCCCATTACTGTGCCAATTCCCGCTGGAGTGCAGAACTTCATGCACAAATGAGCCTGGGAAACAATGGCTCTCAGGTCTTCCAATAGAGGTCCGCCCAGGATGGCTTTGTGCACGCTTGGCAACTGCAGAACGATGAAATCTGCTTCAATCTTCCGTACGTAGGGCTCCGATCCAATCTGGATCTCGAGGGTTATCATACCCTCAGGCTCAATTGTATCTCTAGTAAAACCCGAGAGGGGAGTTCTCACCTGTTTGAGAGCTCCCTTCTGCAGCCTGATCTCTAGGATAACATCCATGTAGAGTATGTTGACCGAACTGTCGTTGACTACCAGTACCCTGTGAACAATCGCGTCCATGACCTCCATCTTGATCACCAATGCATCCCTATGTGGCAGGGGACACGGGGGAAGATCATCATCCATTAAGGTTATAGACTCACACTTCTGTTTTTTGTCGGCGGGAAGGCGGTGGATTTCGCCGACAAACAGCTGGCGACTCCATTTCTTCCTTTCCCCTGTTGTGTCCCCTCCCATAGATCCGCCATAAATATGGTTGACGTGTGGTCGCTTCTGCCTACCTGAATCTTCCCCTTCTTCGTCATCTTCGAACTGGGCCCCGACCTCCCTTTTCTTTGAAGTTGAGGCCGACGCGTCCTTCTTCGTTCTCCAGGTGTTTTTCTTCGGTGGCAGCTTGCCCTTGCTGGGCTTTCTTCACAAAGTGGTCCAACTGACCCTCTCGTATAAGCCTTTCCACGTACTTCTTCATAATGTAACAATCGCAAGTCTGGTGAGTGTCTCTTTTGTGGATCTTGCAGTATTTTTTGGTGTTCTGACTGTGGATGATATTGCACACCTCGGGGGAAGCAATCAGCCCCTGTTTTGCTACGTAATCCAGGACAGTACTCATTTGATGCGCAGACGGAGAAAATTCTGGCTGGCTGGCTAGTGGCCCTTC